GTGCCAGGCACTGTGCTGAGGGCTGTCTGAGCCCTGGGTTATGCATGCCCGTGGCAGCATAGGCATACCCACGCATACTTATGGGGCAATGGGCATTGTTATCCTGGCATCACAGATGAGGAAACTGAGGCTTAAAATAACTTGCCTGTAGTCATTGCTCTAACAAGGGATGCTTCTAGAGCAGGGGTACTCAAACTACGGCCCGCAGGCCACATGCAGCCCGCCGAAAACATTTATCCGGCCCGCCGGGTATTTTTGCCGCCGCTGTGTGCATAGGAATTTGTTCATAGTTTTTTTTTAAACTATAGTCCGGCCCTCCAACGGTCTGAGGGACAATGAACTGGCCCCCTGTTTAAAAAGTTTGAGGACCCCTGTTCTAGAGGATAAAAAGACATAAAACACATACTTCTTGAAGTTGGCCAACAGGTGAAATGGAAATCCTCCAAAACCAAGCATGAATTATATCCTCAACAGGTGAACACATTATGGACATTGAGGCAATCCAAGGCACATTTATTTCAATGCTCTGATCAACATTTATATTATTCAGACCAATTAACATGATTACCTTTAGAGTGAGATGCTTATCAATAGAATTTTGGTCAAAAAGAAGCTCTCAAGAAGAGAAAAAAATTATTATCATCAGGCACTTCGGTCCCCCTGCTGTCTTTTCTTAAGCCTAACCAAGTATAATGAAGGCCAAGTACAATACCTACTTCTTTTCTTCCCATAGGCCCTCCTTAGCAAGCAGAGCTATATGTTTTTCCTCATTTCTCTATACACCTGATTCAAATACTTCAGTATAAAACATGAAGACTCCACTTTCACTACTGCTTTCTGGCCATTCCAGTCAAGTCTTTTACCTACAATGTGCAGGTTGGATAAGATCAGGTTTCTGCAGTCCTCAAATTTTCAGCAAGATATTCCTCGGAAAATGTAAATGGACCTGGAACTTCCCCATTTGTTATATTTAATTGTTGACTATCTTCCATTTTCATGGCTGGAATGGAAACAAATACTGGAATGTGGTCAGCACAATTCCTTTTGTTTATAAATACACCCAACTGGAAAATGGAGAAACTGATGTCGGGGTCATATAACTTTGGCAATTCAAGGCGATATGATGGTTTGGTATGTACATGTAATATAAATGACTCATCACATTTTGATCTTTGCTTTCACCTTTATTCCTATTAAAGGCTGCTTTCCTGTTCTGGCAGATATATGATTCTCCTATATTCAGAAAGAGAATTCTATGTGAAATCACTCAACTGTGTAGGAGATAAGAGACAGCTAATTTCTATCTCATTTCGTCTTTGATTCTGAATTAGTCGGCTGAAAATTGCAGTAGGACCAATCTAGATGAGAGAAGGAGATCATAGTGACTTCAAGTTGAAAGACACAGCTGTGAGTTTCTTAGAAAACTCCAAGTACTGCACCCATTTCTTTTAAAGATCTCATTTAAAAGGGGGGCCATCCACCCATCAGTTATGAATTTGAATACTTTGACTATCTCCAAATCATAACCTTCATCAAGTGGGAAGGGTCTTGCAAATTATGATGTGCTCAATAGAGAAACATCAGCTATTGATCATTTTAAAGTCCATCGTAAAAAGAAAATAATTCTCACCATATTATGCCATTTGATTCCAGCCATGTTTTAAACAGAAAATAGACCATAGTTTTAACATAAATAATGTCTAGTATTTGGACTTTTGGTTGATTGTGTGTGTGTGTGTGTGTGTGTGTGTGTGTGTGTGTGTGTGTGTTCTCCCATCATTAATAACAAGGAATGAGTAACAGGTTCACAAGCTATCTATCTATTTATCTATATATCTCCAACATTTTAAATCTGACAGTTTCTATTTGTTTCTACATGTTACGAAGAGACGAATTGCTTTTTCTATTTCACAGTAACTATTCAGATACCAAAAAGTAGTGGTCGATGGAGCAAAACACATGACTTAATAGAGGAAAAGGGCGATATTCCAAAGACCTGTGGGTTCATAGCTTATTCCATGGAGATGCTGAATATTTGGATCCTAAATCCATAATCTGGTTTCCACAAGATAGTCCTGGTTTATGGTTTTTACAGGCATAAATATAAATGCAAATAGCAACCCCTTTCACTTAAAACAATGTCCCAGTTGAAATAATAACTTCTATGGCCATTCTTTGCAAAATAAATAAACACATAATTTAAAAGACACAATCATGGCACAAAGAGTGTGCTTTCTGTTCTGAGTAACTTTGCAGTACCTGACATCTTTTTTCCCCCCAATTATTTCACACACACACACACACACACACCTGTAGCTTTCATTTTCTAGTTCCAAAATAAAACAGATAATCCATATGCTTTTCACTATTCTATTACAGGGTTTATTGAAATGTATGAGGGAGCTAAAATATGGGTTTGTAAGTGTAAAAATCTTTTACTTCTACTAGTTCCAAAAGTTAGAGAAAACATATGACATTCATTCACGGTAGGGCTGAAATGTCCTCTTTTTAGAGAATAATGAATACAGTACAAAACTATGCTTTCACTGACACCCAATAACAACCTCTCATCCATTCAAATATCTATTTAGTGCCTCCCATGGGCCCTACCTCTAATGGGCATATCTTGAAACTATAGGAAGCACAGAAAATTCCAGAAACTCAGAACCTTTGAGATGAAAAAATAAAACACCAAAACAAACCAACAACAAAAATCCTCACAAGGAATTTTTAAATGTAGGACATTTTCTATGCAAAATTAATGTCTGGTACCTATTAGCTCACAATCAAAGTAAGTCTGGAGCTCTAGTTGGTTGCTCAGTGGTTAGAGAGTCAACCATGGGACTGAAGGGTCCCAGGTTGGATTTTGGTCAAGGCCACGTACCTCAGTTGCAGACTCAATTCCCATCTTGGTCAGGATGAGTGCAGGAAGCAATGAATCCATGTGTCTCTCACACATTGATGTTTCCCTCTCTGTGTCTCTCTCCCTCCCTCCCACCCTCTCTAAAAATCAATGGAACAGACTGCTGAAGCTCAGAGGGAAGGCGGGGGTGGGTGGGAAGAGATCAACCAATGAACTTGTATGCATATATGCATCACCCATGGACACAAACAATAGGGTGGTGAAGGCCTGGTATGGGGTGTGGGATGGGTTAGAAGGGGTCAGTGGGGGAAAACGGGGGACATATGTAATACTTTCAACAATAAAGATTAAAAAATAAAAATAAATCAATAAAAAAACATCCTCCATTGGATGTTTAACAAACATTGAAGGATTAACCAAAAAAACAAAACAAAGTAAGCATGGGTACTTGGGCATGGACTTCCAGCTCAGTTTGAAATTTCTGAGGGGATTTCATGTTAGCCATATTTATGTGACTTCCAGGAAAAAGAAATCTTGGCAGTATTAACTAAAAAACGAAGGCAATGTACTTGGATTAGAGTTCTTAATTAGGGAAGTCTAACAAATGAGTACTCTGTGACTGAGGAGAAAGCAGGATTTTGTCTCTGTAGAGTTAAGAATAGTGGAAGCCAAATAAATGAGTAATATCTCTATAATGACTTTCTCATTTCCTTTTCTGCGATGCATCTACATTTATCAAAGCATACCCAATGAACTACGTAGCGTTATGTTAAAAAGTTAAGGCCATAACATATTTAACAAGAGCCTAAAATGTTATTTTCTTTCATAAAGGAAGTGGTATCAACATTCACTACTTCCTTGAAACAGGACATAGCAAATAATCCAAACGATTGCTATGAACCAAATTTTCCTCTTCTGATTGAACACAGCTTTTATATAGACCATTCATAAATCTAAACAATTGTCTGTCGTTAAGCCAGAAGACAGCCTGAGACAATACATTTATTTTGTTAATCATTCCATAACAGCTGAAATTTAGACTTAAACACATCCGGGCCAAAATAAGCAGTTAAAAATCCTTGTTAAATAGACAGCGGCTAGGGAAACAAAAATGTACATATAAATGTAAAATAGATTTTTTTCCCAGTTCCCACCGGGCACCATACACAGTTATGACAATATTATTGATTATATTCCCTATGCTGTACTTCCCCACGCATATTTGGTAACTGCCAGTCTGTACTTCTCAATCCCTTCACCTTTTCCACCCCGTTCTCCAAACCTCCTCCCCACCAGAGAGACTTTTTATAATGATCTATGACCTTTATATGTAATAGGCAATCGTTAAGGGAAATACTTAATCCAAACTTGGTTCTCAGCAATGAATGACATATGGAGTGTTCCCCCAAAATGTATACACATTTTAACAGCTGAGAGCTCAATTTTGAAAATGAAATGCATTTTAATAAACACTGTCTTTATAATTATTCAAAGTGTGTGTATACATTTTTTGGGGATACCCTATCCATTAAATGTCCTCTGTCAGTGACAGACTTATAAATAAATCGGGTCTTATTAGCTCCAAAATAACAATGATAAGGAGTGTCGTTCAAGCAGGATTTTCTGCTCTAATTGCTATTGTCAATGTTGGTATACAGGTTTAAAACAAATGCTTCTAATGTGTACCCACAAACCAGGCACAATTAGAACAGGCTTTCCCTAAAGCCTTGGTAAGAAACAATGATATGTTTCTTTCTGATATGAGTATATATAGCTGTTAATTAAATCTTAACAACTGAAAAGTATAAGCCAGATCCTCCCCTAACAGTCATGTTAGTATCTCAAAATTCCTGCAACTTTCATAAGGGTTAAACCTTACAGTCCATTTTCAAAAAGAAAGCGATTGAGGTATACCCTGGGATGAAATTAACATGCACATTAACAATTTGCTTATCTACTGTTTCAATATTGGAAAGAGGAAGTGATGAAATTACCATGCCATTAGGCTAATAAGCTGGATTTCGACTGCTCATGAATGAACAAAAATTATTGTATTGACATGTTCAGTCCTATTATGAACTCACATCTTATTTTCCAAGGTATATTGCGCCCCTTTTCTCAATGCTAATATATTTACCTTCATTTTTCTTGATGGTAAAATTCGGATTGTTGACCATTTCTGGAAGAAGACTGTATAAGAAATAATGTCCGTTTTTGGGATCATCTTTGTCCATGGCACTCACCGTTTGAATGACCTGTAACATAAAAGTTGACGTCAGCATTTCTGATGACATCGATGGTTTGAACCACCTTTCAATTTTCTAAATGGTCATGGATGGCTTGTGCCAAGAATAAGGAGAAACACTCATCACTTTAAAACCTCAGATTTGATGAGTTGATGAAAATTGAGGTCATTACCTTGGTGTCCATTGGGTGTCTGGGGCTTGAAATAGCATATGTAAGGGTATTTGCAAATTTCCACTGGGCAATTATATGTTTCTTTCCAATTTGAGTATATACAGGTATCTAGAACGAGATTTGGAATTGTCACAGTGATTGTAGTGTGGCCTTTGAGATGACAGCCTAGGACAGTGATGGCGAACCTATGACACGCGTGTCAGAGGTGACACACGAACTCATTTTTTTGGTTGATTTTTCTTTGTTAAATGGCATTTAAATATATAAAATAAATATCAAAAATATAAGTCTTTGTTTTACTATGGTTGCAAATATCAAAAAAGTTCTATAGGTGACACAGCACCAGAGTTAAGTTAGGGTTTTTCAAAATGCTGACATGCCGAGCTCAAAAGGTTCGCCATCACTGGTCTAGGAGGTAAAGGACTTAAATCTTGAATCCTCACAACCCTTCTTTAATATTCCTCATCAGGTTGCATGTGTTTGCCAACTAGAATGTTCCTTGGCACAAATGTCATTGTAACAAAGCGTTCTGAAGACTTGCATCTGTTCCCACCCAACAATGAATACTGTTTTTAAAGCGAGTGGATAAGACATGCAAACAATGCTTTGGAGTGTATCCTGATATGAATAAATTACAGGGATTAGAAGAATTACCACCGCACAGAGAAATGTTTGCTCAGATACACGTACTCGGGTCCCGGTTGAATGTGCTTATTGCATTTGCAAAGCTGCATTAACTTAGGGCGAAGTTATTTCTTGGGATGTCAGAGAATTAGCTTAATAATTCTCATTTATGGTTCTGTGATATTAATCACTTCAATCAGAAACCCTGGGCAAATGCTACCGTAGAAAACACATTATAGCTTATACTTCATGAGTAACTACAACACCGTTTCTACAAGAGATGGTTGTGAAGCATGACTGTCAAGGTGATATCAGATTCGCCATAAAAAATTTAACAGGGAAATGCTCTTCACGTGTATGAAGTTTAGAGATGGCAATGATGATGCCTAATATGTTATGTCTGTTAGAACAATTATACCCCATTCAACTCTGCCAATTTCACTAAAGAGGGAAAAAATGGATGGCTTCTTTTTAAGAAAGCGACATCATAGCCTTGGAACTTCTCACCTAGACGATGTGAGAAGCACACTTTCAGAACACTTTTAGCAGCTGTGGCGATTTGCATTGTATCTGGTACGTGCTATGTGAGAAGCAATGCAGTAAGGTTATTTGAGGCCTGAATGAAATAACCTCTCTATTCTACTTCTCCATTATTAAAATGGAACATATCTGGCTTGGTAGATGTTTTACTTCTGTTAAGGACCTTATGAAATGTCTTCTAATTGTACTTAGCTCGAGTCACAATATCACCAAAAGTAGCACAAGATATAACTCATGGTTAAGAAAGAAACGTAGTCATTAAGGTGATGGACTCTGAAATAAAGCCGTCTTGATAGAAGTCATAATTTCACCCTTCACTCGTTGCCTGACACTCAACTCTGAAACTCAGTTTTGCTGCATCCCTAAATTAAAAATCTGCCAGGGTTGCTTTGATTACTGATGTAAATTCATGTCAGATGCTCAATGAAAATTAGTCACCATCATTATTGTTTTTGACTTTAGGGTCACTATTGTTTTTTTAATGGCATGGCACCTTGATAAGTGTTATCTAAGGAGGTCCCCGACCTCATCGGATTAGATGGAGATGCCCTATGTCTGCTATATATAATCGCCTAGCACATTTGCCTTGACATTTAAGTATGGAGACATGCCCTGGGATTCCCCTTTTAGCAAAATGAAAGAATAAAAGGTACCAGGGGAGAAGCTGTGAAAGACAGATAACCCTTGTGTGGACAGCCTACATATACAAATATTTATCAGGGGAATGTGATAAGAGCCTTCTTTTAGGCAACAGAGTGGGAAGGAGTTACTGGTGAACAGGTGTGGCAGCCCTTTACCCAATTTTGCTTCAAAAGGACTTCTATTCCTGGATGTACCTTCTGAAGAATTAACTCCTGAAGCATGTGAGCACATGTGAAGAATAAAGGCAAATAGCCCTGGCTGGTGTTGCTCAGTTGGTTGGGTGTCGTCCCAGGCACTAAAACGTTGCTGGTTTGAGTCACAGTCAGGACACATGCCTGGGTTGAGGCTCAATCCCTGGTAGGGGGTATGCAGGAGGCAGACAATCAATGTCCCCCTCTCATCAATGTTTCTCTCTCTCCCCCCTTCTTCTAAAAATCAATAAAAATCTTTTAAAAAAAAGAATAAAGGCAAATAGAAGATTTCTTGAAAATCTGTGGTGGAAATCATTCATAACTAAATGCATTCTAATAGTATAGTTAGTAGGTAGAGCTACTATAGACAATACCTTTCTTAATGTTTCTAAGTAATCTACAAGAAAAAGACACATACATGCTGGCTAGTGGCAGCTACACAAGTTATTTAATCAAGCCACCACTACCCAAACAATAAAAAAACATAATAATTTAGCTTACCTCAAATAAAGGAGCATAATTGCCTGTTATACCACATCTCAGAAGTTTGGTGCAAACATTACACCTGCAATGAACATGCTCTTCCCACCATTTATTTAAGCCAATAACTCTGTTAGACGTGCACCCTTTTTAAGCCTACTCAACCACAAAGTCTCAGGGTGGGGTCTAGAAGTCTACATCTTAGTCTTCTAGGACGGTGATTCTGCTGCATGCATTGGTCTGAGAACTGTTTTGAGCCCAGGGAGGGGGTTGGTGTCCAGAGCGCCCACATTATTATTCATTAGGAGCCTTTGCATTGTCAACCTCACCCCACGCTCAGTGCACAATGTGCTGCGGAAAAAGGGATGAAACGGTAAATCTGTAAATCAACTTCCGAATACCCTGTGAACTGGAAATGGCTAAGACTTTGGTTGGAACCGTTTTTGACGCCTCGTTTTATTTTCATGCAGATGGCCACTGTCAGGTCATTTTATCTCAGAGTAGACGCCTGGTAGATCACTTGAAGGACTTTCTGCCATTAAAATGCATTAGGTGCCCATCTTAAAAAGGCCGGCATTTTCATTGATGTAAGAACATCTGAATACACTTAGCTTTAATCAATAGAAGAAAAAGAACACGTTTATGCAAGGAAGTGCCTCTCCACACAAGACTTTTTACAGGCACACAGAAGAGATGGCAAAGGAAGGCCGCACACATGTCCCACGGAGAGCTCCTATGACATCAATTAATTTTTAAATAATTGGACAGGTATTTCATGAAAATGACAAAAACAATTCTGGAGAGTACACAGTTGTTTTTTTAGAGTACATGTAAAGTATGTAGTTAAAATATTTTCCCTTCTACCAATAAAGTTAGACTATAATTGAAAAATCTAATGTTTAGTAATTTATTGTGGAATAACTTAAAAGGAAGCTGAGAGCTAATATACCTCTCTATCAGAAAACCTAAGTATACGTGGATGTTGGGATGAGGAAGTAAATTCTAGGGCCCTGCTTGGGTTTCTATGGCAGCAGACGGCTGTTGGTTTCTCTGAGACTACTGATTTGAAATAACCTGAGGCATGACACAGAAAACAATGAGCATTGTGGGGCCATATCATAATTCAGATTCTGTTTTCAAAAAAACCTATTCATTGTTTATCAATAACACTATGCCTAAGTTAGATACTTACTAGCAGAATTTATTAAACTTTATTTTAGACTATTTTATATTTATTCAAAATATTTAATAGTGGCCAGAGTGGTTCAGTGGTTGACCATTGACAATTCCTGGTCAGGGCACATGCCAGGGTTGTGGGCTCCATCCCCAGTGTGGGACGTGCAGGAGGCAGCCAATCAATGATTCCCTCTCATCATTGATGTTTCTATCTATCTCTCCTTCTCCCTTCCTCTCTGAAATCAATAAAAATATATTAAAAAATATTTAATAGCTGTAGGTCATTACTGTCAACTTTAAAAAAAATATGTTTTATTGATTTTTTACAGAGAGGAAGGGAGAGGAATAGAGAGTTAGAAACATTGATGAGAGAGAAACATCGATCAGCTGCTTCCAGCACACCTCCTACTGGGGATGTGCCCACAACCAAGGTACATGCCCTTGACCGGAATCGAACCTGGGACCCTTCAGTCTGCAGGTTGATGCTCTATCCACCGAGCCAAACTGGTCAGGGCTGTCAGTAACTTTTTAAAAGGCAAGTAGTCAGCAAACAAATACATTTCTGATTACCTGATCTGTTAACAACCAAAAAAACTATCATGGGATCTATTAGAATATCTCCTATCAGTTCCTGTCTATATTATTCATTGATTTATTTTGTTCTGAGGTGATGAGTTCCTATTTTGTTTTGTTTGTTTCTCCCTCTCTGCCATTGCAAAAGTGTCTGGCTATTTTTAATTTTTTTTAGGGAAAGTAGATGAGAGAGGGAAAGACAGAGAGAAACACTGATGTGAGAAACACATGGATTGGTTGTCTCCTGCATGCGCATGCGCCCAGACCAGGGCCCTGGCAGGGAAGAGCCTATAACTAAGGTACCTGCCTGGAACTGAACCCTGGACCCTTTGCTCCACAGGCTGATACTCTATCCACTGATCCAAATCGGTTAGGGCAACAGTCACTTTCTTAGGTAAAACTTAACTTTCTCTTTCTTAGAAGATTTTTCTGTAGTGAACTGGAAGGGGGTGAAGGAAAGAAGAGGAAGTCAAGGTGGTGCAGAAAAGACAGTAGTGATTTTTGGTTTTCTACTGATTCTTCTGCTGATCATTGCCTATTTGTTTCTGATTATCAATATGAGCTTTCCTGAAATGCTAACTTCTATTTCTTTTTCTTTTTATTGATTTCAT